TTTTTCAGCTTGATTCATTCAAGTCTGTTGATTATAATCTAAAACAACTCATGTCCTCTTTATTGTTGTAAACTTTAAAATTAGTTCTCAACACTATCTTATGAATTTTTTTCTGTTCATAGATTTATTTATTTTACTTTTTAAAAGTAATGAGTTGAAAATGCTCTATCAATAGAAACAATAAAATGTTGCGTTGTCTCGGAGTGAGATAGGAATCTCTAAATTCTGTATTGCTTTTGATTCTGGAAGGGGAAGTTCTCCTTTCGCACATGCTGTGATCTCTTCCACACTTTTTCCTATCCTAGCAGAATATAGCAGCTCGTTGCCTAGGAGAGTACCCCTTTCCAGGGGTGCACTGGGAGCCCAGACCTGCAGTGCTGTTGTAAATCAGGATGATGTTTTTACAGGGACATTGGTGGCACAGGTTAAGGGTCCTGTTTCCACTTTGGGCCACAGGTAAGAAGCACCTGTATGGTTTCCCCTTTCTCAGTATCTGGAGAAGAGATCTGTCCCTGTGTGTCCCTTTCTGCCAAGTTGGTTTGATATGATTTTTAGGAATTTGCTCTGTTGCATAGGAAAGCAAGCCAGATGCTGAGACCTCAGGTTAATGATATATACTTTGGCTGCTAACCTAATTGGAGAAATGATAAATTACTGGCCGTCTGATTTGTTTGCAAATAAAGAGTGATGGAGGTGTTTCCAACTAGTGGCTTTGTGTTCCTTCCTCGTTGGCTTCTGCCGGGGTCTGAGTCATCCCCCTGAGCCTTCATGCAGGTGGCTCCGTCAGCGAAGCAGGACCATGCTCAACAAATGCATACTGTGTGATTGCCCTGAAGTTGGAGTGGCATGTCGGTTTTGTTTGAATGTCTGTGACGCAGTCTGCTCCCATTGTTGTTCTGAGTCTGGTGTGTTTGCAAAGTGGGCCTGCTGCTATCTGAATTTAGCTCCTGAAATCAAACTAAATGACATGGTGTGCCCATTTATCACATTACCAGACTCCAATTGAGATTGAGAACTTGGCTTAATAGCATTTGCAAACACTTCATTTTCACTAGACAGCTGCAATAGAGCTACTGAGCCACCCTGATAAGCTGTGCCATTCCACTTTGGTTGCTGAATGGTGTGGAAGCCCACTGTGTGGTGACCAGAAGTTTTAGTTGCCCTATTAGGTTCTCGCGATATCTCTAGTTATAGAGATATGGTTGATACAGTCCAGCCTTTCCACATTCTAGGTTATCGAGGAATCTGGATCTTTTATGTGGACCATAAAAGCCCACTTTTCAATACCCCCAGGGACTCAGCTCTGTCCAGTGAACTCTGGCGTTTCAGACTCTGTCACTGCCTCCAGGGGTATCAGGCACCCCTGCCCTGTGTCTGCTGCTGTAGCAGAAACAGAGAAGCAACTGGATTGCATTTCACTAATGGAGAACTAATAAGCACTCTTGATTGTCAGGTTTATAAATATGTAAAAAGCATTTTAATTGTTTTTAGCAAAAGAGGCAAGGAGTCAATATTCGCAGACGTGACAAACATACTGTTGACATGCACTACGGTCAGAGGCCCAGATGAGCTGGGAACTTCCTGTCAGCAGAACCCAGGCATCACTGTTCAGACGTCCTGGTGTTCTGTGATAAATGGGTACCCTGAACTGTATTGATAGAGCAGGGTAACATTGAAAAAGTTGGGTTGAACTTTGACTTTAAATATTCATTAGAGCTAATTATAGATTTTCTGACTCTATGAATTACAGTTTCTGTGCTTGCATTGGCAATTTATTTAACATTTATTGTAAACTTCATAATATTGTATTAGCTTTATCACATTTGATGAGGTAATAGTTTAAATGTTTACATTGACATTTATTTACTTATGCCTTTTCAGAGTGCCTTCTTTATCTGAAACAACTAAAAAGATACTCTTTATCAGAGCTCATGTCATCCGAGTAGATGTTAAAATGCATTTGTGGGATATAGCCCTGCAATTTTCTTTCTTAGATTTCTGGAGAAAGATTAATTGCCTCCACGTCACATATGTCCTGTTGCCCCTCATACAGAAAGGTGGCCTCTATTCTGTTTTGCTCCCCAAAAAAGAAGCTGAATTCCAGCTGTTTTCAGGATCTATTATGAAGGTTGCTCAGTCCCCATTTCAATGGAGTAAAGCGAGTACCTTCACAGTGATAGGTTAGGTGAGCACCATCCACACCACCCCAGAGTCGACGACAGTCCATGCGCCCTGTGCTTGCTCCATAGTGAGCCCTCCTGGTTGGACAAACATGCGCCCATCAGCATGAGAACACACTAAGTCCCAATCCATGGAGCTTTCACAGCCCAGTGACTTCTCGCTGCTAGGGCAGGGCTCTGGGGTTCAGTGTCAGATGCTGTGATGTGCAGTGTCCCCTACCTACTGGCTTATTTGATAGGGCAGAGATCTATCTAGCGAGGAGAGGAGGCACCTTTGAAGTAACAGACTCCCTCACTCACATTCAGCCTGCATTGAGTCTTTCTCAGGGTTTCTTTCATCGCCTCACCCTTGCCTCCCCCCCACCAGCAGAACGTCCCATCTTGCGTCAGCTGGCCAAAGCTGTGAACACATTGCTGGTAGTCAGGATGCAAGGGCCGGGAGGCTTCCCAGGTGCTTCTGTGGCATCAGGGTTCTCCTGCCCTCATCAGGCACTCATGCTTGTGGGCACGTGCATGTCTGTGTGCGCGCTGTGTACACACTGGCACTCAGAGCTGCCTGAGCTCGACCAGGGTGCAGATGGCATGGGTGGGTGCCCTTCAGTGGTGGCTACTTCCCCTTCTCCAAATACAGCACAGACTATAGAGTCAAAAAGTCACACCCCCGTGCCCAGAGCTCACACAGACCATGCTTTGGCAGCTGAGTAGTGGTCTCGTTTTCAGTAATTGCCATCAAGATATGTTCTGTGAGATAGCTGGTTTTCGCTGTTTGGGCTTTTTTTTTTTTTTTTTTTTTAAGGTTTTTGCCGTACGGTACATACACTTGCCAGAGAAAGAGAGAGAGAGAGAGAGAGAAATCACCCCTCCAGGGGGTGGACATGCCACAGTCTCTTCTCTCAGGATTTTGAGCTTGTACACATACACACCAGTATGATTTTCAAGCTGCCAAGTCTGGGACTTGAACTACGGTCAGCCATGTGGGAGTCCAATGCCTTAACCACCACCCACCTGCTGACCCCATTTGATTTCTTGAATCAAAACATTATTTCTGAGGAGATGTCCGTCTGACCAGTGTGTGCCCTGACCATAACTGAATCCCACACATGCCACCAGAGGGAAATGGGTGCTCCACTGTGTGCCTGGGTGGGCCCAGGCTGCCCCTAGTCACTGTGCAGAGGAGCCTGGCAGCTGCCATGGGGGTGCACAGGTCAGGAGGCAGGTAGGGGACCAGCAGGAGGTACTAGAATTGTTTCAGGAGTAGGATGGAAGTGGTGAACACAGAACTGCATGGAAAGACACACTGGCAGGATACAGAATGGAAGAGGGAAGGGAGCTACCTGAGCCCTCACGTGACATTCCAGCAGAGCCTGAACACAGTTTGACAGTGAGGAGGTGAGCTCATTTGAGAGGGTGGGTGGGTCTGAGGGAGCAAATCAAGAGTGAGAGTGGTGGTGGGCACAAGGTGGCATGCAGAAGAGGTGGATGAGTGGAAGTGAGCACAAGGCGGCATGCCTCCACGAGGTGGGTAGCCCATGTGGGTCCTCCCAGTCGTGTTCATGAGGGCCCTGATCTCTGGGCACAGCATGTTTTTGTTTTGTGTGATTGCCACTGTGGCATCTTTACGAGGCTGGGCCCCACTTCAGTGACCTTACACCTGCTTCCACCACCCTGTGTAACATCTGCTGCCCTGGGTCCAAATTGTCCTCCACAGTCCATCAGGATAGCACATTGGAAAGTGTAGACTCAGACCAGTCCATAGATTAAAAATATCTTGGCATTTTGGGAAACAAGTTGACTGATTCTGATACTTTTTTTCTATAATTATTAAAATAAGTTTATTTCCCATGCTCAGTCTCTTATGGTAGTAAATTTCAGCTTTGCCTACTTGACCAAATATATATTGAACAATGTGGAACCAGCTAAGTGAATTGTCAGAAAGATGAAAGTTGATGTGACTAAGTAGCCTGTGTTGCTTCTGAAGGTCACGTGGGTGGGCTCGTGGGTGCCCTGTGGATGGTTGAGTGGCACCCAGTGGAGCAGTGCAGCGTGACTGCAGCAGCTTTCTAATGTCTCTGTTCAGCTCTGCTCCTTCTGCCAGGATGAGGGCTATAAAAAACATGTGGGATAACTGGAGCAGTTTAATCTGGGCTTTGATATCAGATAATATTTTGGCCTTACTGTTAATTTTCTTCAGTGCGATAGTAGTTCTGTGGTTATGTGGGAGCTTGTTCTCATCAGGAGATCCACATCTAAGTTTATAGGAGTGAAGTATTATGGGTCGTGGTTCTGCTAGAAATGAAGAACACGTCTGTGCACATGTGTGCATGAGAATGCATGTGTGCAGAAAGAGGAAGCAAGGGAGCACCATGTCCTTGTTCTAGCTTTCAGTTTTCTGAAGACTTGACGCTTTTCAAAATAAAAAGTTGTGCTCAAAGTCTTTCCCTCAGAATAAGGCCTTATGTGGTCTGACCTTGGATGGGGCAGGCAGCCCCTTTCCTCTTCCTCTTTGCTGGTACCTGAGGTCCTCTGCTCACTGTCTGACCAGCCCTACCCCTTCCCCTCAGTCACTCTCACGCGCCTTGTGACCTCAGGCATCTGTTGGAGGAAATGCAATTTCACAGCTTAATTTATGTGATTTGGCTTGTTAGTGTTTGGGTATTTGCAGGTTATCTGTGGTTAACCATCTCTCAATGACTGGTGACTGTTACAACTAGTAAAACTCTGACCCTAGTTTAAAAGAGGTTCTTTTATTAATTACTTAAAGCTTCACTTTAGAAATATTCCCAGTACCAGTCTCATTTATTTTCTCTTTTTGCTCCACAGGCACTAGGAAGCTTTTATTTTCTTCATGAATCCTTAAAAAATATCTACCAATTTGACTTTAAAGGTAAGACTCCAATCTGTCACGTGGGATTTCCAATCTTATCAGGACTTCTCCACACACACACACACACACACACACGCACATACACACACACACCAGTGTTGTCTGGGTCTAATGAGTCACTTGCCAGCAGTCATTAACCAGGGACAGGACTTCCTATAGAAACTTGTCTTTTGCTTTCTCTGAAGTCAAGATGCCCTATGCCAACCCTACTCCATCCTCCTTGGCTGTCCCACACCATTTGCTGAGCCCCTGCCATACTCCTGCCCCTGGGGTAAGACTCAGGCAGTAGACTGTGGCTTTTCTGTGATGGAGTTAAGAGGAGGAGGGAAGAGTTTTGATTCTGGTTCCTATCAAATGTGAGAAAATGAAAAACAGAATGAGAGGATTGCATATTTCAAAAACAAACCTGAGCAAGAACACCTATGTGTAGCAATGAAAAATATCCCTGGTTAGTGGGCAGACACTATGTATATGTATTGAAAAGATTTGCCCTAAAATGTTCCTGGGCACAAGCCTGCCCACCTTCTTCATCTCCGTGTCTCAGGCACAGCGTGTGTGCCCCCAGATGTAAGCAATTTCAGTTGCTGGGATATCTGTGCTTTCACCTTCCATTTGATTCTTTTTCTGGTGTAAATCTTCCCGATCTCCATATAGACTCTGGAGCCAGATCACATCAATTTGAAATGTCATTAAAGTTGTAATAACTGTGGAGAGCAACTAATTATGTCAATTGGTTCAGATTCATTATTTTTGCTCACTCGGGAGACAGATCGCCTCTTATGAAATTGAGAAGCAGGGTCTTCTCTAAATTGCTTGAGTAGTGGTTTCGTCAATGTTGAGAACAGGATTCTAGCCAGCAGAATGATTTTTCACCTGTCCTGATGCCTGAGGAATCTTCAGATACCTTTAAATATTAGTATCTGACTTTTCTTATCAAGAAATATAGCAGAAATAACCAAGCACACTTGGCAGGAAGCAGGGGCTAGAGGCTGCTGGTGGTAACAGAGCAAACCTCTCCTAAGAACTGGAGAGACAGACAGAGACTCAGCCTACCAGGTGTAGGAACAGTTTACCAGGAATTGAGTACATGCTGGAGACTGAGTGTGGACTTGCTGGAGAAAGAAAACTCCTAGAGACCCACCATGATCTCAGCTGTGCTGCCTGCAGAGGGAAGGAAAGGGGACCATTTGAAGTACATCAGGGCACTCCATTCTTAATAAAGCTGCTCTCAAGGGAAACTGTTTCACCAGAGCCATCCCACCTGGGCAAACAGAAATACCAACTACCCCTCTCTAGCCTTTCTCTCTCACCGAGGTGTGTGTAGGGGGACAGTGGCTGAGATGCACTTGCGAAGGTCATAGCCCAGGGACATAGTCTCCCTAGAGGACTGACTCCAGACCTCACTGCCACATCATAATCATAAGATACAACTGAAAGACTTGCAAAACTCAGACTCTGTTTAAGAAGAAGCCTTGTAGGAAATGCAAAGACAACAGAGAAGACACAAATAAGGACAGCAGAGGAAATTTTAACCTGCTATCTACAGCTCCAGCAAACAGTAAGCGCAGCACAGCCCCTATGCAGATGAACGTGAAAACCTCACATGGAAGTCCTGTGTACCTCAGTTCCTTCCCCTAGTATTCATGTCCTGCTTTCAGCAAAAATGTTATAAGACATGCTAAAAGACTAAAATTCTCTCACAGAGATTTGGAGTTATCAGACCAGGAATTTAAAATAACTATGATTAATATGCTAAAGGTCTCATGTAAAGAGTGGATATTGTGCAAGAAAAAGATGGGTAATGTGGGGACCAGCAGTTGGTGTAATGGCTATGTCGCTGGACTCCCATGTAGGTAACCGCGGTTTGAGTCCTGGACCCTGTGGCTTAAACTCAAGCCAGGTGCGTGTGCGTGCATGCCCAGAATCCTGAGAGGAAAAGGGATTGTGGTGTGACTATCCCCCTGGGGGGTGATTTCTCGCTTTCTATCTCTCTGTATCTCTCTTTCTGGTGAGTGCATGCACCCTATAGCAAAAACCTCTCAAAAAAATATATATATAGGTAATACAAGCAGAGGGATGAAAACTAAGAAAGAATCAAAAGAAAAACCTAGAAGTCAGAAACACTGACAGAAATGAAGATTGCCTTTGATGGGCTCATCAGTAGACTGGACAGGGCTGAGGAAAGAATCAGGGAACTAGAAGGTGTGTCATTTAAAACTTCACAAACTGAAAAGCAAAGAGAAATAACAATACACTTAAAAACAATAACAAAATGTCCACGAACTACGGAACAGCTATAAAAGGTATTGCATACTCATAATGGGAATACCAGTAGAAGAAGGAAGAAAACAATAGAAGATATATTTAGAATAATCATGTTAAGAATTTTCCAAAATTAATAACAGACACCAGGCCACAGATCCAGAAAGCTCTAGGAACACCAACATCAAGCAGAATAAATATCAGAAAGTCTAAACCTGGGCACATATTCAAACTATGGAAAACCAAAATCAGAGAGAATCTTGAAAGAAGCCCGGGGTGGGGAAGGGAGCACCTCACCATGCTAGCACTAATGTTACTAGAGGTGAGTGGGAAGAATTGGGGATACTCCTTTATAAGGAACCTTCACTGTGCGGTGATGTAGTTGTTTAAAAGTAGTTTTGGATGAATTATAACTACATTGCAAGTTGTGTGGTAACCATTGAAACATTGCTAAAAGAAGTAAAATTGATATATTAAAAGAGGAGAAAAAATGGAATAATATAAAATGCTCAATAAAAGGAGTAAAAGACAAAAAAGAAAGAACAAAGAGCAGAGAGTAAAAAAGTTACAGATATGGCAGATACTCCTCCAGCTCTGTAATGATCATGTTAAATGTAAGCGGTTCAAATAAGCCAGCTACAAGACAGAAACTGTCAGAGTGGATAAAAAACACACGATTATGTGTTACCTACTAGAACGTCACTTAAAATATATATAGACATATAAAGATGAAAGATAAAGGGATGAAGAAAGAGAAACCATGCTAGCACTAATGAAAGGAAACCTAGGGTAGCTACATTCATTTCAGACCAAGCAACTTCACACAAGGCAAGTTTTCAGCAAATAAAGAGGAATATTACCTAATGGTAAGAAGTCAGTTCTCCAAGAAGACATCAATCTTTAATGTGTAGGTGCCTAACAATAGTGTGTCAAAGTGGTCGATATGAACACCGGTAGGACTGCAAGGAGAATACGTGAGTCCTCTGTCATAGACTCTGCTCTCAGAAGTGAAGAAATCAGTGAAGGCATGGCTGAACTCTGCAGCACCATTAAGCCACTGAATCTAACCAACATTTATAGACTATGTCATACAGTAATAGCAGGAATACACATTCTTTTCAAGCTCACACGGACTCACTAATAGAGAGCACATTATAGACCATAAAACACACCTTTACAAATTTAAAGTATAGAAATCACACTAAGTGTGTTCACAGGTCACAGTGGAATTAAACTAGAAATCAATAGAAGTAAGACTGTTGGAAAATTCCAAAACATTTGAATAGTTCTGAATAACATCTGATCAAAGAAGCCTTAAGAGAAATTTAAAAAAAAATACTTTGAATTAAATCAAACTGAAAAAATAACAGCAAAATTCAAGGGATATTAGTGAAAGCAATGTTAAATGAAAAAAATCCCTTCTTTATGGTAAGTCCTACAATTTGTGTACCCCCAGAATTCATCTGATGAAATCCTAAGCCTGAACATGGGGCCTTGGGGTGATTAGATCTAAGGGAATTAGTACCCTCATAAAAGAGGAACTCGCTTACCCTCTCCCATCATGTAAGGACACACAGAAGGTACCATCTGTGAGCAACAGGCCTGTCCAACATGCCTATTTTTCTGGCATCTTGGACATCTTGATCTTGATCTGAACCATAATAAATAAATTTCTGTTCCTTATGATTCACCAACTTATGGTATTTTGTTAGAGCAGTCTAAATTAACTAACACAGATAGACTCAGTACTGTCAATTTTTCACTTCTTCCCAACCTCACCTATAGATTCAACATAGTCACAGTCAGAATCCCAGCAAGTTAATGTCGTGTATGTTGTCTAACTGATTGTAAAGGTTTTGTGGAAAGGTGAAATACCCAGAATAGCCCACACAAATGTTGAGGAAGAAACAAGTCAGAGAGCTGATGTTACCCAACTTCAAGATTTACGATTCAACTTCATAGATGAATGGATAAGCAAACCAGAACATCATTATAATGAGATATCATTCAGTGATATAAAGAAATGAGCTATCAAGCCATGACAAGACATGGACGAACCTTACATGAATATTGTTAGGCGAAAGAAGCTAATTTTAAAATGCTAATACTATATGATTCCAACTATATGACATTCTGGAAAAGGCAAAACAGTGGAGACAGTAAAAAGACCAGTGGTTGCCAGGGTCGGGGAAGGATGAGTGAAAGATGAATTGGTGAAGCACAGGGGACTTCTAAGGCAGTGAAACTATTCTGTGTGCTGCTGTAACAATGGATACATGACATTATGCATTTGTCAAAACCCATATACCCATAGTGGTTAAGGCATTGGACTCCCATGTGGTCCACTGCAGTTCGAGTCCTAGACCAGTGGCTTGAAACTCATGCCAGGGTGTGTGTTAGTGCAAGCCCAAAATCCTGAGAGGAGAATGGAGGAAAGAGAGTGTGGCATGACTTTCCTCCTGGGGGGTGGGAGGGTATTTTCTCACTTTCTGTCTCTCTGTCTTTATGGTGAACATACATGCCCTTTAGCAAAAATCTCTCAAAACTAACAAAAAACCATGTACCATACAAAGAGTGAACAGAAAAGCAAACAGTGCATTTCAGTTAGTAGTAATGTATATAGTATTATTCCCTCAGTTTTAATGAACATACCGCCTTAATGCAAGATGTTAATAATAGGAAACCTCTGAATGGATGTGAACTCACTGTACTTTCTGCTCAATATTTCATAAATTTAAAACTGCTCTAAAAAAGTCTTTTTTAAAAAATAATAATGAAGGGGAGCCAGCAGGTGGCATGGAGGTTAAGCGACTGGATCCCACATGACTGACTTTGCAATTCTAGTCCCAGACCTGGCAGCTTGGAAATCATGCCAGGTGTGCGTGCATACGTGTGTGCGTGTGTGCTCAAAATCCCAAGAGGAGAGTGGCCATCCCCTCTAGAGGGTGATTTTGTGCTCTCTCTCTCCCTCTCCCTCCCTCCCTCTCTCTCTTTCTCTCTCTCTCATGAGTGCATGTGCCCTGTGACAAATTTTTTTTTGGAAAAAAAGAATGAAGTCCTCTTCTCCCTACCCACCCTATGTCGCTCAAAATCCCAAGAGGAGAGTGGCCATCCCCTCTAGAGGGTGATTTTGTGCTCGCTCTCTCTCTCTCCCTCTCTCTCCCTCTCCCTCCCTCTCTCTCTTTCTCTCTCTCTCATGAGTGCCTGTGCCCTGTGACAAAATTTTTTTTTGGAAAAAATGAATGAAGTCCTCTTTTCCCTATGTCTCTTCCCCTGTCCTCTCATGTTAACAGTTAAGATTTTCATCTTAAGCAGAATGGCCTTCCCATACAGCAGCTGCTATTTCTCCATCCTTTATTCACATAAAGCATTATAGAACCTGCAACCCATGGCTGCTTTTCCATTCTGATGCATTCTGTGACTCCTTCACCTGCACATGCGTAGTGTGGAGAGGTCTAGGGTCATCTGTCCTGGGGAGCCCAACTGTGGCTGTCCACTCTTTGGACATCCAACCTGGGGTCCAAAGCCTTTGCTAAGAGCAGCCCTGAGCCTGAGCAGATTTTAGAATGCATATTTTTCTTTTATTACAGGTACAGGTGACACTCAAACCTAGACTGATTTTTTGGCTGAAGGGGTCTTTGGAAACAACAACATTATGTACAACAGGCATCCTTCTCCTGTAAATAAAAATCTAATGTCCAGAGAGCCTTCCCGTGCTTCTGCTCAAAGAGAGGAAGCAGTCCTAAGGACCCTTGCTTCTTGGAGCCCAGCTGCTACCAACCTGGGAGCCACATGTCAGCTCCCTGCTCTGCCCTGCAGTGTTGTAGCCAAATGCCTGCCACGGTGACAGTACTGAGTGGCATTTGACTAAGTGTCTGGGAGAAGGCTGGTGTAAGGGCATCATTTAGAACTGGGGAGAGGTAGACAAGCTGCCAGGGATGAGAGGTTTGTACAGATCTTATGGGAACCCTGAGTAGGAGTAGCGATGCCTTACTCTTCCAGACAGACCCTTTGGGTCAGTCATGCCTTTGTGGATCCCAGGGCTTCCTTATTCTTTCTGTGGCTCATTTCTCAAAGATGGTCACCTCATTTCCCTTTACACTGTTGGGATTCTTCCTCTGTCTGAACCATCCTTCCTGCTCCTTCACAGCTCATTCTGTCCCCTCCATTAAGACCCAGCCACACTCAAGCAGTGGTCCTCCTGCTGTGGGGCTCTGCCCACCTATCTCAGGATGAAGTTGTCCCCATGCCTGTACTCCCTGGAGGTCCCGACTGCATCCCATGTCAGTGTCCCATGTCTGTGTCTTCAGTGCTCCCAGGAACTTCACGTCATGTCCTATGTCCCACCTCATGCCCATGTTCCTTGTCTGTATTTTATGTCTACATCCTCTGTGTCCTAAGTGCTCCTCTGGTTGGAGCCATGAGGTTAGGGGTGCCAAAGTCTTTCCCAAATGCTGGCTTTCACATCAACTGCCCCAGCCTGACTGACGGCTCCACAGCAATGACGTGTGATAGATACTGTTCTTCTGCAGAGATGGATGGGTGGTTCACAGTAAGTGCTTCCTGTGATTAAATGCACTTTGTCTACACCATTTTCAGTCTTAAATGGGTGTTATTGGAGTCAAGGCCTCATGGTGGTCACTTGCTTATTTAAATAAACCAATGCATGCATCTGTCTGATCCTGTGCCCACCTACCCCAGGGCACCAGCCTCCAGATATGCCGAGGGGCTCACTTCCCTTTTCCCCAAGTGAGAAAATCCTGTGATTGTCCATCAGTGGTGATAGAGCTGCCAACAGACTCTCTGGGGAATGACTTCAGAATTAAAAGCACCTAAGTCGTCTAGGGAGCATTTCTGAGGAGCTATGGGTATAATTAATGCACAGCTCTGAACTTACGGATGCTCTTTGTTCCATGTTCTTTTCCTTGTTCTATAAATCACTGGAACATCTTGTCCTCTGCCTCCTGCCAGTGTGGCCCAAACACCAATGTTGTAGCCTGGGGACTGGGTCCAGATCATAGACCTTGGGGGCAGGGGTGAGCATCACATCCGTAACACATTCCCTAATGGTGAGGGGGGCCCAGCACCTCACCCCATGATGCTGCCACCTCAGTTTGCTCCCCCACATCAATAGTGTGGACAGCACTTTAGAAACTGTAGGTTCAAGCTGCTTATGCAACCTGAGACATGTTCTTTATGAAACTCTGGCAGCACAACTTGTCTATATCAAAGCTGATCTCCAGGAATCTCCTTGATACCTCAGGGACTTAACCCCAGTGGCAGTTGTTCTTGGCCCAGGAGCAGGGGAACTTGGACTGTTGGGATTGGCAGGACAGCTGTTAGGAACAGCTGCAGGGCTGTGGACTGGGCCCTTGCTCCGTGATAGACTTGAGTGGTCCACGTGCTGCCCCTGTTCCTCATGTGGCATCTTGTGGAGAGGCCACCAGCCATCTCCCCACTAGGCCCAGCAAGAATTTGAGGAATGGATTCCTACATCTGTTTATACACCCTATGGGCATGGGGAAACCCATCCATAAAAAGGATCCCAGGCTTGGAAGTAAAAGATAACTAAATCCAACCCCTGTCCACAATGGGCATCAGTCCAGTGAGGGATGGAGGAGGTGGGCTGTGGCCCAGGCCTGGCACATCCACTGGGGCGGGGGTGACTTCAGGGAGGTGCTGGAGTAGCATCTGTCAAAGCAAATCCTGAAAGCACCTGCCCTGTGCTGCCTTTTTCTCCGTCTCACACAAAATCTCTTCCCTGGGATATGAGTGATGGTAGCTGGATGTAAAGAAGAAATCAATGTTATTAAATAAATTCATATGAAGGTCCGAGTGAATGGTAATTTCATAGCCCTCTTAAATATATTCACAGTTTTAAAAGAGGATGCCAATTAGCCCTTGTAAATCTGCAGGCTGGGAGCTCTTAGGGAATAATGAAGTGGAGTGTCAAATTCCAGGTCGAGCAACCAGAATTTATGAGCCACAGGCATCTCTGAAGGAGCCAGTCTGCCTCCTGCCGGCACCTCATCTGGGCCTCTGCTGGGGCCTCCCTTATATCCCAGGGGACTGCGTGATGGGGACATAAGATCCCCAACCAGCGCTGGATGGTTGGAGGGCGCATAGTGATATTACTCACATCATCCTTTCTGTCTTTTCCAGCTAAGAAGTATAAAAAAGTTACTGGCAAAGAGATTTATTCAGACACGTTAGAGAGTACGCCCATGCTGGAAAAGGAGAAGTTCCCACAGGACTATTTCCCTGAGGTACGTAATGAGGACCACCCTTTGTCAACTTTGTCACTGATGCATTTACTTTTCAGAGTGAGCAAGTCAGAAGTGGAATTTAGGGTACATGATTTTCCCATTTCATTGTAGGTGGTCCCAGTCCACTGTAGGTGGTCTCAGCTATCGTCTGATATTCTGTCTTTCTGGGAGGTTTTCATACTCGTGCGTTGATCCAGGTAGTCATAGATAAGGGCCAAGAAAGTCTAAGGTGTTTAGCATTACACTGAGCAGCTAATTTTCTAATCATCATTTCCAGGCAAAAGGACCTTCCTCAGAAGAGGTAGGAGAATAATACTCAGCTCCCCTGACGTGCGCCTGGAGTCTCCCTGCACAGGGAGGGTGTGGCTGGTAGCAATAACCAGTATAGAACCTAGCAATGACCACATGCCTGTTGAAGTGCTGGGGACTGTGCGGTACAAGGAGGAGGTCTCTCACCTTTCCCAGGGAGTGCTGAGGTGGGGACAAGGTCCCATTTCACAGATAAAGCCTTGGGGGTAGCACCAGCCAGCAAGCAGCATGGCAGCACACATGGAGCCAATGTGTGTCCTAGTTGGTAGCTCAGCCCCACGTCCTAGCTCTGGTGCCCGTTTCACATGGAGAGTTTAGAAATTAAACAGACGGGGCAGTATTTACTGCCTCACTGCTCAGGCACAAGTAGTTGTAAAATGTTGGTTTATTTCCTTCAGGTGTGGTTTTTGTCTCATTTTGTGTGCATGTGTGTTGTTAGTTTTATGCAGCTATTACACCATCCACATAATTGGAGATTCTATTACTTTTTTTTAGTAAACCTTAATAGCCAGCATTTTTGGAGTCTTCTAAGCTTGTATAATTAACATGTTGAGGTTAATTTGTCACCCATTAAATCACAGTAGGGTTTAGACACATTGAGCAGAAGCTTTTCAGGTGCCGAAGTTAGAGCAGAGTGCTGCCTCCTTGTGGCTGTCCACATGTCCGGACAGGTCCCACCCTTTCCATGATATAGGGGTCGTGTCCGGGGCTTGTCTGCTCAGCTCCAAGAAGGATTGCTGGGCGATTCCGTTCTCTAGGAGGGCCGCCCTGCAGTGAAGGCAGTCGCTCCTGCGCATGATTTTCAGCAAGGCCACAACTTTATTAACTTGCTTTATGACCCGCGCCTTGAGTGAAGGGATTGTGGCTGCCTCCATGAAGGATGGAGCTCTCTTGTCACCCTGTGGCTTGGCTTCCTCATCCATCGTCCCAGGCCAAGGACACAGTGTCAGCAGGCCAGCCTTCCATCCTCGGCTGGGCTCAAGCCCTGCGCTCGGCCCTGCTCCTTGGCTCTGATGCCTTGCCTCCCCTGATCTGAGTATCCTGAGTTGGGAGAAGATGCACAAGCAAGCTCTGAGACCTTCCGGATCTGAGTATCCTGAGTTGGGAGAAGATGCATATGTAAGCTCTGAGACCTTCCATGTATGTGGTCTCTTCACTATTTCCTGGATGTGGTGGCATGGCTGTTAGAGGAGCCAGGCCTTCAACTGGGTGAACATCCATCTTTCCCATGATTCTTCTAATTGTGTGGGAATTGTAGGCCTTTACTACACTCCGGCACTTGAAGAAGCCTTGGACCAAGCTCTGGACTTCTGTCCAACCCTGACTATCCCTTGTTCTCCCAAAGGCCTCTTTAGGGCTGATACTGACTGAGGTCTCAACTCAGAGTGACCAGAGACAGACATCAGTGACCTAGGTGAAAATGATGGGTGTTGGAGAGAGACATGGAGAGGAATTGGGGGCTGCAGCAGCCACACAGACCTGAGGGTCTCACCTCTGCCCGTAAGCTGACAACTCTATCGCAGAGAGTGGAATTAAAATAGGGCTGCTGGGGACAGCCCTGAACAGGTCTCCGGAAGAGGCTCTGGTAGTCTGGCTTTTTTGCCCCAGTGAGTCCCTTGATGATCGCGGTGCTGTCCAGGGTCCTGACCATTCTCACCTAACACTCCCCTGCGCCATATTGGCCACCCCAAGATTCTGGCTTCTTGAGGCCAGTGACACAGGGACACCATTCTGTAGAGCTTGGGCTGATAATCCAACATTCTTCAGGCACGATGCCTCCAGGCCCTTACACCACTAGCACCCCCAGGCTCTGGGCCTGTGCCTGTACCCTTCCCCACTGTGTCCTTAGATCTGCTTTGGTCAATGGCACTATGGGGTTATGTAGTGACTAGGCTGGAAACCCAAGGTCAGCCTTGGCTCGTCCTCCTCACTGGATGCATAGTTACCCGAGGTGTCCTATCTACACCAGTTATGTTGAAAGAGCCTGGAAGGAACATTTAACTCTCCAGAGGGGTGGCCTGAGGTGTCTTCTAGAGGATGCAGCTCATGGAGCAGAAGGCTGGTAGGGGGCAGCCAGGGTGGGGAAGCTGGGAAGGCAGTGGGCCCTCGGTGAGGTATAGGCATGCTGATAACATGAGTTCCAGGCACGACAAGGTGTGGGTGACAGCTCAGGAGCATGACAGATTGTGAAGAGCTCCTAGACTGGCTGCTGCCCAATGTCCACGCGGGGAGCTGGGATGCCAGGCTGGGTTGAGATGGTACAGCAGGTGCCTGCTCTGCAGTTCCGATGGCTTTCTGGGGCTAGACTGAAGGTGGCAGCTCTGGACACAGGGCCCATGTGGTATTGCATGAGACTATCTGGGGGAATGGGGGCAGGATGTGAGATAGCCACCAAGCAATTCACTTTGTTCGTAACTTTTTCCTTTAAGTGCTACTTTAAAATTATGAACTGCCTCAAATGTTGAACAGAGTGTAGAGAATAAACAGCAGGTACCAAGAGGCCCCACCAAGATTGAGAGCAGCAGTCAGCACGTGCACATGAGATCTCTCAGAGTGAGTCACACTCGGAGATGATACTCTGCTCGGCAGGACTCCTTGGGCCTCACATGCTTGTTGTGCAATGCACAAACGTGGCCATAACCATGCACTGCGTGTTTCAAATTCCCGCAAGTGCCCTGCACTGTGTGAGTCACTGTGTGACTCTCTAACTTGTACTTCCTATGGCACTCTCCACAGAGCTCATCTCTCATCTGGGTGTGTGTGTGTGTGTGTGTGTGTGTGTTACGCTGTTCCCACTGAAATGTAAGCCACAGCTTTCATCCCCCAGGAAAAGGCATGGCCACCCTGGCATTCCTTGTCCTTGCTTCACTTGGTAATTCCAGAATTTTGGACAAGCAGATCCTCTTGCTATATACTCATCTCCAGAGCTGGAGGTGCTGGGGGTTCACTGCATGTCAGCCACACAGTCCCCATCTCTTCTGTGAGCCAGCTAGGGTCATTCAGAAAAGTGTCATCTTGTCTTTCTGAGTGGGCAGGAGAAAGGGCAGAGGCTAAGGCAGTGAACATCCCATGGAGACAATTCTGTGGAGAGGTCAGACTTCCTGAAAGCCTTGAGGTTCCTCCAGAGAAGGCTTGCATGTTCCTGACATATCTGTCCCTGATCCAAGTTCCTCACCTTGCAGCTCAGATTCTAAGGGAAGGAGGTTCCTGGTTCCCTCTCTCCCTATTGGACTCCTCTCCAGGCCAGTAGTGAGCCTGGCTCCTGTTTCTCTTTCTCCTACTGGCCCTGGTGGCAACATGTGGAACCGAGGCCAGGAAGCCCAGGTGGAGGCTGGGTGAGGTCTGAGGATCTCTGCTGGCTTTACTACACCTCAGAGAGACGGCAACCGCAGCTGTGGTCTCAAGTAAGGCCGCCGGCCTTAGTCCCTGTGACCAGTATTCTTTCTCCTTCATGATCCAAGCAGAGTGCTGGAATGTTCTGTGGAACCCATAGTGACAGGCCATTTCCCTTCCACAGAAAAGTTAGCTCCATCCTGGGCTTGTACAGGCCTCCAAGCTCCCAACCAAGGTGGAGACCCTTCCTGCACTCAACATACATGGCTCTGGAGATAACGTTGTCATGTCTCCAAGCAGAAGAGACAGTGCATTTTTTAAAAAAAAATGACCTCCCAGGTAACAACAGGCTGCGGGGCGTCTTTGGGTAGACTCCAGTCTTTCAACTTGGAGAGCAGCAAGTGGCAGTTCATAGCCTTGTGGTTAGCTGATGAGAGGCCCGATGGCTGCTGGTGGCTGAAACTGAGGGGACGCCTCTGCCCAGAGCATTAGCCTTCCTGTGGGTCAGCGTCCTCATTGTTGCCCTGTTGTCCTAGTGGTCATCTCAGGATCTGGTGCATCTCACCTGATGATGTGTGGTATGCAAAGTCACTCTCATTTTGCTTCATCCTGGTAAATCAACAGAAAGAAAATCTTCTTAAAAAAATGTTTTTAAATGCCAGAGAGTACATAAATACCTGAGAGGGAGAGAGCCAACCAATGAGACCTGCTCATACCACAGTCCTTCCCTCAGTTTCTCCATCCTGTCAGGATCCTGGGCACACATGTTCACCTGGCAGGTTAACATTGTTTCAGGATTCAAAGCACAGTGAGCCATAAGGGATCCAGCTTCCTTTGCACAGTACATGGCTACTCTGCTATGGGACTGGTCCCCTAAAGGGGACCAGAAGAAAAGTCCTTTAAGAACCATATACTTCTAACATTCTGTTGGTAGTGTGATGATTTTTAAATGTACGAAACTCCACAATGTGTTTGTAGCTCTCTGCGTTTCCTTACCTGGGGTGGAAGGCTGGGGGGTGCAGGATGAGAGTGAGACCTGTGCTCCTGTCTGGCAGGAACATCGATTAGGAATGCCCTGGGTATGAGCCCTGGCGGCAGCCACACTGTGCTGTCTGGCTTCTCTCTGTGCCTTTATGCCAAACTTTTCGCTATATTTCAACACATTTTGGGGGAGGGAATTAGTTTAAGACTGATTTCTCTTTCTTTTATTACCATCACTTAAGGATAATCTAAATGTAATTACTATGATGGAGGTATAATGCAATTCCAAATAATTACAGCCCACTGCATATAAAACTAACAAAACTTTCTTGATTGATTTATGGGTGCTTTTGGCTCAGTATGAATTTCAAATGATG